ATAGTGGAATTAATGAAAAATTCATTCAAACTGTTCTATTTGCAATCATCATGTCAGCGCCATAGACTCGGCGGGCGGTTGCCAGTTTTTTCCCAAGTATTCAAACCGCTTCAAGGGTAGCTGTGCCGTGAATTAAAAAAATTCCAGGGCAAGGATGCCGCGGTGAAAACAGTTTGAGACCGCTACCCTCGTGGGCTGCGACACTCTGTTTAGAAAGCCTTGCCTTAACCATACACGTAACCTTTTCAAAATCCTGCCACATTAAGTCGGTCGGTCAAGCAGACCCTGAGTGAGCCAACCTAAATTTTGCCTGTGGGAAAACAAGAACATGGACCTGGGTAAGCCGCACTGGGTGCTGCAGCACTTCCTGCACACGATACTGGCAGGGGCGATAACCCGAAGTAAAAAATGGGGAAAAGGGGTGTCGGGTTCTCCTATTTATTTTCTAGGTAGACAGGGGGTTGAAGGGAATTCAACCTTGCTTGAGTGTGCAATAATAATATGTTTCTTCGTGGTTCGTCTGACTGAGCTTAATGCTTTCTGCCTTTTTACAGCACATTGTATTTCGGGTGATACATCTGACTTTTTCTGGCATTTTTTGTCCGAGTTAATCGTCCAGGATGTTGACGATAATAATAAGGGTAATGACTGGGGAAGGCAGGTAATCAACATAGGAGCAGAGGATAAGAATGCTCTACCCACCAATCACAGATGGGGGCAAGGGGGGGGGGCGGTTTCTGCGCCTCTGAATCTGGGCGAGTTGCGGATTAGTTTTGTTTAAGTAGATGGTAGAGCAGTGTAATCAAACGGCCACAGTGGTAATTGTGGAGAGTTATTTCGCTACATGTTACAAGTCACCAGTCTGTGTGGAACTTTCACCATGTTGCTTGTTCTTGGGTAAGTTTTATGAGTGAGTGTGTGTGTGCGGTAAGAACACGCAGATACGTGCGACGTGCATACGAGCCGTTCATCCCCTCAGGACCTAGATGTGACAAGTTTGGCACCCTGAGATCAGAATTTCTTAATCTGAGTGGCATACCGGCATAACCTAGAGGTCTGACACCTTGAGATGAATCTGCGTGCTGATGGCAGACCAACAGGAGCTGAAGGTTTGAAACCTTGAGATGAATCTGCGTGTTTACGATCATATGGACCAGAGAGGAGAGAAACTAGAGGACTGGCAGGATGAGAATAGGTTCATCCTCGTAAATAAGCCAACCGACCCACCAACCTTCTACCCTAGAGCATGGCATACCACCTCGACACCAGACCTAGCCTTTCACTCAGCAGACATGGAACTGAATATTACCAGAACTGTTGGGAAGCAACTAGGAGGCAGTGACCACCGGCCAGTCTTTCTAACTATCGAAAGCCAGTCTGTAAGAGAGAGCAGCACACTGCCAAGGTGGAATTTTAAGAAGGCAGACTGGAAGTTATATCAGCTTCGCCCAAATGTTCTGCTGGAAAATCTTAACACAGATAATGACGTAGAAAAAGTAGTCCAAGAGTTGAGCAAACACATACTGCAGGCAGCCCTAGAAGCAGTTCCAAGAGGTGCGCGTAAACAATACAAACCGTACTGGAATTGCGATCTGGAGCAACTGCACAACAATATGGAAACAGAAAGAAAACAGGCTGAGACCAGACCTTGTCAAGAGCAGTTTAACAACTACCAACATTCAAAGGCCAAATTTCAAAGAGCCAAACTGCAGGCTAGACGGAGAAGCTGGCAGGAAAAGACAAAGTCCCTAAACTTTGAAAGAGACACAAGGAAGTTGTGGAGGTTAATTAAGCAAATTAATGATGAGAATACAGGAAGAAATGGTTATATTGCACTGTGCAAAGAGGGAGCCATCCTAACAAGAAAACAGGCAGCTGACCACTTTGCAGATTCCTTTGCAGAAGACAGCAACATTAATGTCAGCCCAGAGAAACAGCGAGAGGTTCAAGAAAACAAACAACATACAAGACAAAAAGATATAATTCCTGAGGCACTGGTGGCAGCATTTACATCCAGCGAGTTAGAATTAGCAATATCAAAGCTGAGAATGGGAAAATCACCTGGAACTGATGGAATCACCAACGAAATGATCAAGAACCTTGGAACAACTGCCAAAATAAAGCTGCTACAGATCTTTAATCATTGTTGGACCAGTGGCAAAGTTCCTCAAATATGGAGAGAAGCAATCACAATACCTCTGCTTAAACCAGGAAAGGACAGTTCTGATGCCTCCAGCTATAGACCGATCAGTCTTACCAGCTGCCTCTGTAAAACAATGGAACGTATTGTCAACCTTAGACTCCAATGGTACTTGGAAAGTGAAAACATTTTCACGCAGCAGCAGGCAGGATTTAGACAGTGCTACTCCACAGAAGACCAGACAACTTACCTTTCACAAGAAATTGAGGATGCCTTCCAGGAAAAGAAGCTAGTGCTAACGGCATGGATAGATCTGAAGAAAGCCTTTGACAAGGTCTGGAAAGAAGGTCTACTGAAGAAACTGAGAGACTGCAGGGTGAATGGGAGTATGCACAAATGGGTCAAAGCATACTTGTATAACAGAAGATCCCGAGTACAGATAGATGGACTTAAGAGCAAGAAAGTTTTGCTGCGCCATGGCGTCCCACAAGGAGGTGTCCTGTCCCCCACACTCTTCCTAGTCTATATCAACGACCTGCTTTCTGAACTACCTCATGGAATTAAAGCTGCAATGTATGCTGATGACTTGGTACTCTGGTGTACAAATGAAAATGCGACAGTGGCCACCAGACTGCTACAAAGAGCCATAGATGCAATGGCTAAATGGGCCGACAAATGGTGTGTCAGCATCAACATAGGCAAATGCAGCACCACTCTCTTTACCCTTTCTCCTAAACAAAAATCAGGCGCCATGCACATAAATGGAGTACCCCTGAGAGAGGATAAGGAGCATACATACCTCGGCGTAACGTTTGATGATAGATTAACATGGAGAAAACACATCAACAAGGCAGCAACCAAAGCCAGAAGGAGGGTAGCCATTCTGAGAAAACTAAGTGGAACCACATGGGGTGCTAGCGAAAAAATACTTAGAAAAGTTTACCAACAAAGTGTTCGACCACATCTTGAATACGGATCAACAGCATGGAGTTCGGCATCAAAAACCACATTGCAAGAATTAGACAAAGTGCAAAATCAAGCTCTCAGAGTTACCACAGGCAGTATGAAATCAACACCTATAGCTGTGATGGAGAAAATGGGGATGACCCAAGCACTAAGTGAACGCAGAGACACCAAGATGCTTTTACAAGCAGAAAAGTTTCTTAGTATGCCCAGTCACCCTATGAATGAAAGATTCAAAAATTTAGCTTTGGGACGACTAAAGAGAAGTAGTTTTATCCACCAGGCCAAACGGCTCGGCAGACAAACCACTGATTTAACTGCAACTGATAGATCCTTAAATGCTGTCCCAGAACGGACCCCCTGGAGAGAGGAGTATAAGTTTCCAATACACATCAAGACTGAAGTGAAAGGGGTATTTGACAAGGAAGAACAAAACAGTGTGCAGCGCAAAACAGCCACCCTCAGTTTACTTGATGATGAATACCCGCAGAACCTTTGGGTCCGTGTTTACACAGATGGGTCAGCAGAAAGCGCAGTCAGAAACGGAGGTGCGGGAGTGTACATTGAGTATCCTAATAATACCAGGTATACAGCCAAATTACCAACGGGAAAGCACTGTCACAACTATGATGCAGAAGTTCAAGCCATCAAGATAGCGGTAGAGAAACTACTAAATACAGGGTATTTTTTACAACCAGTGGTATTCCTGACAGATGCAAAAGCAGTACTTCAGTCACTCCAGTCTGGAAAATTACCAAGCATACGGACACTATTATCCGAACTAGGCAACCGCTGTAAATTAGTAATGCAGTGGATACCTTCCCACTGTGGAGTTCCCGGAAACGAAAAAGCTGATAAACTAGCTAAGGAAGGTGCAACTGAAGAACAACCTGACATACCAGTCTCTTATCAACAGAAGAAGAGAATGATCAAATCAATCAGAATGCCACCGAAACTGGCACAAGATGATTACCATATTATGGACAGACCAGAGCAAGTTATTATCCTTCGCCTTAGAACAGGGCACAATAGACTTCGCTCCCACATGTACAACAAATTTAAGATTGGCCAATCGGCCATGTGTACTTGTGGACTGGCACCTGAAACAACAGATCACATCCTTCAAGACTGTCCCATATTCAACGCTTTCAGGCAAAACATTTGGCCAAAAGAGACACTTGTGGAAGTCAAACTTTACGGGCCGCTTAGTGAATTACAAAAGACAGTGAAATTCATACAAGAGACGGCTTTGCAGATATAGACAATTTATTTCATGCGAACGAAAGAAGAAGAAGAAGAATCTGCGTGTTGATGGCAGACCAACAGGAGCTGAAGGTTTGAAACCTTGAGATGAATCTGCGTGTTGATGGCAGACCAACAGGAGCTGAGGGTTTGAAACCTTGAGATGAATCTGCGTGTTGATGGCAGACCAACAGGAGCTGAACTCTTGACACCGTGAGACCAAAAGTATCTCGGTGCTGGTGGCAGACCACGAGAGAAATCTCAGATACCCAGTTCAGCCTGCCTGGAAGGTATAATTATGGCACACGTAAAGGTCATTATCGGGGTGTTACTTTCAATCTCGTGCCGGTCAGGATGTGAGAATCGATTTCATTGGACGGCTTTTACTCTATAGGGCTCTGGGTCGCCCCACTTGTGGAGCAGCTATAAGTCTAATGATAGCGCCGCATACAGCACGAACTTATAGCTTAGGGATAGCTGTAAAATGTATTGCACGCTTTCTGTAGAGAGCGTCTTCATCATATGAGATAAAATCCAGTGCACTAAAATCGATCTTCTTGACATTTAACCAGTTAAATTGTAAACCCTTTATTTTACTACATATGAAAGCGAATTCGTTAGGAATTTCGTCAGAAATGTGTTCTTATTTCAACAGGGCCGCGAGCCTCTGCCTGCTGGTATCAATGTGTCAGAGCTACTCGCTCTACCAGGAACAGATTCCCAACGGCAACAAAGTTCCTCATCCGTGCAAGAAAAACTACCGGTGGCCAGGCGTTGGCCACAACAACTCCTCTAGGAGGAGGGGCCAGAAACCAGTTTGGAGTGGACTTTCAGGCAGCTGGTTTCAAGGTTGTTTGATTGTGTCTTTTTTATAAGATTAATAATTGTTCATTAACTGCAGAACACGGGGAAAACATTAAAAATGGGTAAAATTAAATGTTTTAGAAAGGTTCGAACGCAACCAGGAGAGCGATAAAGAGATTACAATAATTCCTCGAGCAGTAAATATCGTTTTATTATTGAGAAACAGAGGCTGAAATGGTTCGGCCATCTGATGAAAATAAATCCAGCGATATTGTCAGTAGGAGCATACATTTAAAATAGAAGTGCCAAGAGACTGGGGGAAGCCTAGGATAAGATGGATTAAAGGAGTCGAAAGCAGTCTAAGATGTGGTTATTTAACTGGCGGACCGCAGGCAAATTTGGCCCACAGAGGCCCAGCGAGAGGCCCAGCGAGAGGCCCACAGAGGCCCAGCGAGAGGCCCAGCGAGAGGCCCAGCGAGAGGCCCAGCGAGAGGCCCAGCGAGAGGCCCACAGAGGCCCAGCGAGAGGCCCAGCGAGAGGCCCACAGAGGCCCAGCGAGAGGCCCACAGAGGCCCAGCGAGAGGCCCACAGAGGCCCAGCGAGAGGCCCACAGAGGCCCAGCGAGAGGCCCAGCGAGAGGCCCACAGAGGCCCAGCGAGAGGCCCAGCGAGAGGCCCACAGAGGCCCAGCGAGAGGCCGACAGAGGCCCAGCGAGAGGCCCACATGGCCCAGCGAGAGGCCCACAGAGGCCCAGCGAGAGGCCCAGCGAGAGGCCCAGCGAGAGGCCCAGCGAGAGGCCCAGCGAGAGGCCCACAGAGGCCCAGCGAGAGGCCCACAGAGTCCCAGAGAGAGGCCCACAGAGGCCCAGCCAGAGGCCCAGCGAGAGGCCCAGCGAGAGGCCCAGCGAGAGGCCCACAGAGGCCCAGCGAGAGGCCCAGCGACAGGGCCCAGCGAGAGGCCCAGCGAGAGGCCCGGCGAGAGGCCCAGCGAGAGGCCCACAGAGGCCCAGCGAGAGGCCCATGGATCACTGCATTTTCTATTGCAATAATAATCTTTCTATGCTTGGGCTTGAGCCTCTGACCCTTGACGATCCTCACTTTCCACAACTGTGGCCCCTGAGCACACTTGTTTGAATAGCCCTTCCATTCAGAAGTTCAACAAATGGTTCATGACAATTCCCGCCCAAGTGAAGTGATTATCTATTCACATGGCTCTGTGTTGAGGGCAGACGAAGTGCGAATGGACGTCGCTTAGTGCAACCATGATTGTAATTGGCACAGAGCATGCTTAGAAAGGTGAAGAGAGGCATGCTTCGTGCAGAGTGGCAATCATCACTTCAGAAATCCGGAGTAGTTAGCATCCTTTCGATATTTTCTCCAGGTGATGCCGGTGTGTTGGGAAATGAAAAGGCAGACAGACTATCCCTTTAGGAACGAGTCAACAGTATGGAGACGCAGATAGATTAATACAGTCTGAGGAGTTACCAGGGGATCTGGCCGACGCTCAACACTAATGGAAAGGATGAGACAGATATATAATCAGACGGATAATGGTGCCATCGGAATTGGAACTCTTCGCATGCTGCTGAAAATAGGGACAAAGAGCTTTAGGAAGTGTCTGGAGTGCTATGATGTTAATTTTGCACAAACAATATTTTGACAAGATAATGAACCTATAGTATATTCCAGAAATTGGGCCCTGCTTTAAAAATCTGTACAGTAAGCGTTCAGTCTAAGTTGTTGAAATCTGGCATGCAATCTATTAATAATAATGCCCTTTTAAGATGTTTTTTTTTTTCATGTAAACACACATCGAATGTTGCGAATACCTTGGACGACCAGAGTAACTAACAACGATTGCTTGAGAGAAGTTAATGAAAGTAGATCTCTAGATACAACAATAGGAAAGAGACAAACACTGTTATTTGGCCACATATTGGGAAGAGAGACATTGAAGAACATCGTGAAAACTGGAAAAATCACAGGAAAAAGGGGTAGATGCAGACCAAGAGAGATGATGCTGGATGGACTGAAACGATGGCATGGAGGGATATAATCAAGAGAGCTGTTCCAGTCAACTAGGGATCATGATCTGTGGAGACTCATGAGCGCCTACGCCAGTAGGCAGGGCACATGCTGATGATGAAACAAACATATGATTTCTATTTTGCCTTATTTGCGGTACATTAATAAAATGGACACCGACTAAAAGCAAACAGTCAGCAAGCTTACAGTTAACTCAGTAACAAAAACTTTCAAAGCATCAACTTTACCAGTTTCAGATCTGTTTCACTCTCAAGCGGTCATCTTCAGTATTCGCCCCCCCCCCCCCCCCATGTTACATGAACACAAATTTTCATTGTATGTGGAATAGGCTGTCAACATAATCGTCACTCATCGCTGCATCTATCAATCTATCTTCTTTAACTCCACCAGGACATGACACAAGCTAAAAACACCCGATGACACAAAGTGCCACCATGTGGATGGGAATCACCGTGGAAAGGTCGTAGAAACGGCGTTCAGCCATTAGACCAAATTTATAGCCGGGCTATATTGTGTCACCTCGCAAGAGCCAAAGTAGGGTTTTAAAATAGAGAAAAATTGCATGCCACAAGGGGGTGGCTGAGGTTTTTATATCATCGCTGCACATGTAAACTGATTTCAAAACAGTCCTCATGCATGTATCAATTATTGTACAAGGTCCGACAGTTAGTAATGAGACTAATTCCATAAAAATCAAAATAATTTACAATTGAAAATAACACTGTATCGGATTCAAAGTTAGCATTTTTTTGCATTGATACGGCAAGTGGCACGATCTAACAAACACTGGAACCACCTCTATAGTTTTCCTATTATTATGGCCCTAAAAGTCGATGTTACGGTCCTTTGAATGTCATCAATATCGTTAAAGAAGGTTCATTTCAATCAAAACTTTAAATATGGGAATAGAAAATAATCACAGGGAGACAAATCTGGGGAATAGGGTGGAAGGCTGAGAACACACATTGGTTTTGGGGCCAAAAATTCTTGTTTTGATAACGTCTTTTGAGTACTCAACCCGCTGATATTTTTGGTCATCAGACAACGAATGTGGTACAAACCGGAAAGCAACTTTTTTCTTGCCAAAATCTTGCACTAAAATGTTATGAATGGTCTCTCTATTAACACCAGATTTATATGCCATCATCCTCACAGTAAAACAATGATCTTCTTATATCCGTTCTATGACTTTTACCATGTGTTCATCATTACCAACTGAAATTTGGCGTCCAGGAGTAGTTGCATTGCTAATTATTTCCACACCACTTTTTAATCGTGAATACAACTTGAAAATATGTGCACCAGATAAACAATTATCTCCATAAACTTGTTGCATCAATTGAACAGTCCCAATGGCGCTTTTTCTGAGTTAGGAAAAAAATTAATGTTAGCTTTTTTTTTTGCTCCGTGCTGATTACGTAACAATGCATCTCTGACTAGGTCAACAAAATGTTGCTGTTTGTTGTCTGTTTGTCGAGAGGCGATGAAAAGTTGCCAGATTATAATTGAATGTTGCCTCTTTAGATTCCATGTATTGCTTCATAGATGGCATTTTTGTCTTAGCCATAATAAAATCAGTCTCATTTCTTAATGGGCACACATCATTAGTTAAACAGACATAAAAACAATGTCACAGCTTTGAGAAAACAGCAGCACCTGTGCAACTGGTTATTATAAAGTCATAAGGACATGATAAATCTAAGACAAGATACATACATTTGTATTAGAGCGTACATGAGTTTTCGAGACAAGTGTTAAGTTGTGAGAGCACAACCTGTGAAACATACTATAACGAAGTTTTCGTCTAACGAAAACAATAAAACAAAAAACTATTGCTGAATTAGAGCAAAACAGCTCGAAAATGTATAAAACAACTATCTTTTAGTTTACGTGACCAAAGCGAGATCACGGTGAACTAGGGATATCTATTATATACAGAACGATAACTGGGGTTGAAGAACGATAACTCGGATAAGGAACGGTAACTTCATCCTCCAGTTGAGGCAGGGTAGAGAAACGGATGTAGCTTCTATTTTCTGTCCTTTCTTTCTCCTTTCCTTCTAATTCTGGATTATCGGACAGGGAATAAAGCCGCCAATTTTTATAATTAAGGAAAATTATATCATTTTAAGTCATCGATTGTGGCATATGCGTTTCTCTGTAATTCCAAGGCACCTGGTTCGATTCTAGATGCGGGCGATTTGGCAACAGACCACTTTGCGTTATTTTCGACAATTTTCCTTTTCTTTGCGTTCACCGGCTGTAAACTCCGGTAGAAAGTTCTGGTTGTTCGTCTACTTCCGGACTTTAGACAGTGTTCCAAAATCCTTAAAGTTGCGTTCACATTTCTGTTAACAGATGTGGCTTATTTGTATGCAGACTTTTGGTTCCTTGCCTCTCAGGCAGATAGCCTCCGACTTTAAAGGATGCCTCCAATTAATCGACTACTACGAAATGCTTGTTGTAAGGGTTGGGGGGGGGGGGGGGTAAATGAGTATATCATTGACTACCCCACAATGGGGCCCTAGAACCTCCACGGGGAGTTTTTCGACAATATCTAGAGATGACCATTCAGAAGCAATGACAAACTACTCAACGTAAAATTTACTAGTAACTTCACGAAGGTCAAAACATGCAGGGGTTGGTTCTGCAACATCCTGTAAGTAAAGGATACATTTTTAACTTTATCATTCTGGTTACGTCTTTGTAACTTATGAACTGCTGTAAGGAGTCATTTTTTCGTTCGAATTTCATTGTAATAAACTATTCACAACGGGTGGACTTGGGAAAAAATAAATGTATGACGAGATCCTAGCAGTAGGACAGACTTCCAGGTTATGTCAAGTCCCGCCACCCGGACGAGACGCCTAGCAGTAGGACAGACTTCCAGGTTATGTCAAGTCCCGCCACCCGGACGAGATCCTAGCAGTAGGGCAGACTTCCAGGTTATGTCAAGTCCCGCAACCAGGACGAGATCCTAGCAGTAGGACAGACTTCCAGGTTATGTCAAGTCCCGCCACCAGGACGAGATCCTAGCAGTAGGACAGACTTCCAGGTTATCTCAAGTCAAGACACGAACCCTCTTGCACACCCTCACGCGTATTAGACATATTTAGACATATTTTATAGACCAATCGGCACTAGGTGGAGGATGTGGTCAGTGTCACACCGGCCGCCTTTACTTTCCATGACTGTAACTGGTACCCTTTAATGGCTGGGTCGACCTGGGAGCCAAGGTCATTTCTTTAAATAAAAGTCTTCATCTAAGCCTAATTGGCCTAGAATACCATGGGGGAAAGGGGAAAAGGCTGGGGGGCAGTGCAAAACAGAAAACCTGTGTTGTTCAAATGTAAATGGACTGAGATTATAGCTGGTGTCAGACAGAATATCAGAGGCTACAAACACCAGCCGCTACGTAGCACATACCAGGGCTCGCAGGCGTGTGCCTCTGCTGCTGCTTGTGTTGCAAGAAAAATATCGTCCCGTTCAACTAGCACCCTGAAAGAAGAAGCTTTAGGTTATAAATGTGACCAGGTTGATTTGTGCCCTATAGTATGGCTTAGCCTTGCTCGCCACCTGAAAAGGACTCTTGCAGTGTTGATGCCATCAAGAGAGACAGGCTCAAGTACTGTTCTGACCGACGACGAAGTCGTCTACCGGCCAGCTTTTAGGCGACCGGTCGCCGATGAGCTAACGCCTCATCAAAAAAAGGCAACTCAGGATATGAGGTTGAGAAGAAGCAGCAGATAGTGCTGGGCGATCACACTGAACCATGAGTGTGTCACGTGTACAAGAAACGCCCAGAACTCACTGAGGCTGCAACCAGCAAGGAATGCGAATCTGTAAAAATAAAACAAAATCACATTTATTTACGTCCAGTCTGCCTTGTTTGTTACGGGAAGCAAAGGACACTGGGGCAATGTAACCGATCTTGCATGTTGTATGCGACTAAACAGTCTAGGTCGTTCTATTACCATTTTCTCTTGTTATGGGTTCCTGAGTTCCGATTCTGGGAAGGGGCGGGGAGGTGGAGGGGGGTAGATCTATTGTCATGAAAGGCGCCTTATTAGGGTTTTTTTTTTTAGTGGAAGCGCATCAGTGTAAAATGCTACGAACTCCCTCTCTGCATACAAGTGAGTAAGATCTGTAAAACGGATGTGCACGCAACACTCAGGTTTTAGAACAAGACTCGAGTCCAGAGGTGAATAAGCAAACAAAACGTTCTGCCGAAATTTACAGTGAACTCAATATAAAGCCAGTTTGGATAAGCGTTTCTCTCTCTCTCTCTCTCTCTCTCTCTCTCTCTCTCTCTCTCTCTCTCTCTCTCTCTCTCTCTCTCTCTCTCTCTCTCTCTCTCTCTCTTTTCTCATTCTTTCTCTCTCATTCTTTCTCTCATTCTCTCTCTCTGTCGTTCTCTCTCTCTCTCTCTCTCTCTCTCTCTCTCTCTCTCTCTCTCTCTCTTGTATGTATAATAATACTATTTATTATCTCTTTAAGAAAATATACATGACTAAAGTGTATCTTTTAACGCTGTAGGTACAGTTGAGTAGTTTTCTGCTATATTTCTCCACAGTGGACGGAAGCATTGTGCCAGATGGACTCAGACGGCGACGGCAGAACAAACGGACAGGAACTGGGAGATCCCAACTGTGTCTGGGCCCAAGGCAAGTTCCCACAGAGAAACTCGTGGTATCACCAACCCAGGTACTTCTATATAAATATTCTTTACTAAATATTATCAGCATCATCATCAACGCGTGTCCTACCCAGCGAATGGGGTGAAGTTGGGAAAAAAATGAGGGGGGGGGGGGGTGGTGTTTGGGGACTGCACAGATTTTAATCGTTGGTATTTTGAATCGATTTCAATAAAAAATATAGCACCATGCCATCGCTTCTGGCCGTCAAGCGTGGTCTCTCCTGGTCTGCCTCTTCTACCCTCGATCTTTCCAGTCATCAAATGGATGTGGATAATTAAACTATTGACAGTTTTAATAATTATAATAATATTAAACTTTTTTAACATTTAATTTTGTGTTACAAACAAGCCAGTAGAAAACAGACTGCAGTAGCCGATGTGTTATGATTAACTCATATAGCAGTGGTCTCCATCCTTTTCCAGGCCACCCCCCCCCCCCTTCCTTCCCACATTCCGCAGTATGTGGCAGGAACCGCCCCCCCCCACCCCACGCTTCTTTGAATATATGGCAAATATACACACCTCCTTGTGTATAGCAAAACTTCACTCCCCTCCCTGATCTGCAAGTATACGGCAAGCCACTCCAACCCCTCCCTGATCTCCAAGTATATGGCAAGCCACCCCAACCCCTCCCTGATCTCCAAGTATATGGCAAGCCACCCCAACCCCTTCCTGATCTCCAAGTATACGGCAAGTCACCCCAACCCCTTCCTGATCACCAAGTACATGGCAAGCCAACCAACCCCTCCCTGATCTCCAAGTATACGGCAACCCACCCCAACCCCTCCCTGATCTCCAAGTATATGGCAAGCCACCCCAACCCCTCCCTGATCTCCACGTATATGGCAAGCCACCCCAACCCCTTTCTGATCTGCAAGTATACGGCAAGCCACCCCAACCCCTCCCTGATCTCCAAGTATACGGCAAGCCACCCCAACCCCTTCCCGATCTCCAAGTATACGGCAAGCCACCCCAACCCCTTACCGATCTCCAAGTATACGGCAAGCCACCCCAACCCCTTACCGATCTCCAAGTATACGGCAAGCCACCCCAACCCCTTACGCATAATAAAATGTGATTAAAAACGAGGTTAATAGATTCCGAAACAAGGAAAACGGAAAGTTTGGAGACGGTTTTGGTCAGAATGTGTTTTTTAGTCTATAATCACATGCGTGTGTTATCATAACAACGAGATTGCTAAAGGTAGACGTACAAACTTCTTATTAAAACACAAATATCTTTGTCGTCTGTTTCAAAACTAGTTTTAAAAATATTTTATTTATAATGAAAATAAAACAAAATGAAAACCTCATTGCGCTCCCCCGCCCTTAGGCTGAAGATCACTGACCTTTAGAGTGCCTCTCAGACATGTATACTCTGAAATGAAGGAACACTCCATTTTAGTAGCCTTCTACGACATGCTTATTAGAGAGCCGTGGATCTATTCTAGCCCCCCCCCCCCCCCCCCCCACCTCCTTTCCATCACTCACACACAAAGTGACACCGGACCTCCCCAGGGAATTGACGCAGTCTGCAGAATAGACTATAGGATAGACTATGGAATAGATTACATAATAGACAAGGGGATATACTATAGAATAGACTATGGAATAGACTACATAATAGACTATGGAATAGACTGCAAGACTTATGTAAAGTATGAATGTCCAAACATGATGATGATAAATGTGATCATGGTGCTAGCTCCCAATAAAGAAAGATTCATTGGGACTCTGTAGTAGATGTGGGCATTCTCTCGACTGTGTAATTTACTTCTCCGAACATTTTCTAGTGATATTTTAGGATAGGTCGACATGTCTGTTCATTTCAGCCCCCCCCCCCCCCTCCCCCTTTTCCGTCCCCTTTAAGCCTTGTGTGGAAAGGGATCTAAACAATTCACCGTCGGACGACAAATGGGAAGCATGCCATTTTGTTACTGCGAGTCGGTTGCTAAAAAAAAGACCATTTATCAGGCCTACAGGCGTATTGAGCATATAGGGATAGATCTATATTGTATAGACCAATCGGCACTTGGTGGTTGGTGTGGTCAGCATCACACCGGCCTCCTTTACTTCCCAGAACTGTACCTGGTACCCACTCAAAGCTGGGTCGACCTGGTAGCCAAGGTCATTTTGGAAAAAGTCCACGGCGTCCCCAGGGTTTCCACTATGACTTGATGGACAGTCCAGCACAGTGTTCTATATATATAAGTGCATATCATCTGCAGGTGTGTGTGATCCTCATGACAGTCCGTCGTGCCAGAAGAAGAACGCTTTTCTCTCCTGCGCTCTGGATCAGTTTCAAGGATGTGATGCAGTCCGGAAGCCTAGTAAGATTTAAGCATCTTATGTGTGGTGCTTGATTTGTTGACTGGTAGGCAAATATATTGATTGCTATAATGGTTGACCGATTGGTTGGTTATTTTGTTGGCTTGATTTGTTGGCAGATTGATTAGTCAGTTGACTGGCTTAGAATGTTTAGCTTGCATGATTGCCTTCACTGGCTGGCTTTGATGTTGGATGACTGGTTAATTCTTTTGTTGTTCTATAGGTTGGTTGATAAATGGTTAGTCGATCGTGTGGGGACGGTTGGCTTCGATTGTTTGGCTTGTGAGACTGATTGCTTGGCTTATATTGTTGGATGATTGGTTGATTGTTTCATTGTTATATTAGTTGATTAATTGTCTGGCTAGCTTATTGGTCGTTTGGGTGGCTTCTTGGTTAGAGATTTACAGGGTTGACTGTATTTTCATTTGGTTGGTGGAACTTACGGTTGGCAAAATTTGAAATTGGTTAAAACCGGGTGCAATGCGGTCAATACTCTTGACCTAAAACTTGTAAACCTGATTTTGTTTCATAGTATTGTCCAGATCCTCAACTCATTCCCAACTGAATCATTGATGATTAATATAGATTAACTATTTATGTCATTTCAACAGAAATATTTTGTTCACGAAAAAGAACATAATACGCTTAATGAAAAGACATTTGAAAGCTAGTAAGGTGTGAACAGCGATACGATTAGAATAATATAAACAGGTGAACTGAGAGCAGTCTAGGAATGCCTGCGACGAATGAAGGGGATAGGAGGGAGACTGAGAGGGGGGGGGGGGTCTCTGTAGCCAGCCTTCGGTGTGAAAGCCACACCACTTTTTCACTTTTTCTGTTAAAGGTAAATCCCTCAAACACACCAATACTCTCGTCAAAGCTTTTCAAGAGGCAAAAGATGAAGGCATGACAGTAAGGGGAAGATAGCGATACAATTGGGATAACTGCAAGAGTTATAGGAAGAACAGTTTGAGAGAGAGAGAGAGAGAGAGAGAGAGAGAGAGAGAGAGAGAGAGAGAGAGAGAGAGAGAGAGAGAGAACATTCAGTACTAGAGACAGAAAGTGTGACGATCCATCAGAGCTAACCTTCACTGTGGAGGCGACACCTAATTGTTTGTTATTGATTTTTAACACTGCAGATGTGACAGTCCTGGATCTGAAATTTAGCGAAACGAAAATACCCGAGACAATCACGACTTACATGTGTAAGGGATTCGAACTAGAGTTGGAGACCGATCACCACATCATCGCCAGCGAACCACTCGTCGACAACAGAAATGTTCTACACCACATCACCGTCTGTGCATGCGAACCCGGTCAGTATCATTCTTCCATGCTATAATGCCAAACTCTCCAGTATCCTTTATCTTTGCCTTCGCCCGCGTCGCTTCCTCTCCAGTATCCTCTATCTTTGCCTTCGCCCGCGTCACTTCCTCTCTAGTATCCTCTATCTTTGCCTTCGCCCGCGTCGCTTCCTCTCTAGTATCCTCTATCTTTGCCTTCGCCCGCGTCGCTTCCTTCCCAGTAGGGCTGTACCGAATATTCGCTTTGTATTCGCTTCGGGCCGAATAGTAGACCTAATAACTATTCAGTATTCGGCCGAATAGTTGCGGTCAGGCCGAATACGAATAGTGGTTACCTTACACCCGTTTCTGGACTGATAAAAAGTAAACATATCAAGATTTCCCACCTTGGTTCCTACTGTCAAGCGTTATCTTTGTGCACCACCTACAAGCGTACCAAGTGAACGTCTGTTTAATACAGCTGGAACTCACGGAGACTGCAGCCATCAAGGAATGCGAATCTGTAAAAATAAAACCAAACACATTTATTTACGTCATTGAGACAAGAAGCTGCCTTAATGCGAACGATTGTTTTTTCAAAGCTGTTAGTGGCAATTTACAAGTTTAGCTACTTGTTATAAAACTAAAAATACTTTCATTCCTATGTATTAGTTACCATAGA